GATAATTTTAACACTGATTCAAACCTTTCAAATTTTTGTAACATTTACTCTCAAATTTCATTTATTGCACCCACAATTCTAAATCTTTCAAAGGAGGACAAATGAACAATTTCCGTCTATAAGTACGTAAATTGATAAAAAAAGGATTTTGACCATATTATTAACAATTTCAATAACGATAAAATGATAACTTTATATATTTACACATAAAATAATTAAAATCGTTTGTAGGGATAGGGAAGGGGAAAAAAAGATGATGAACTATTTTTTTTTATTGAAATTATTAATAAGGTGGTAAAAAAATATTTTTTGGGCTCAATTGATAGACTTATGCAGGGATGGTAACGAAATGGGTATGAGACGTGTCGGCCATTCTCACTCCCGTTCCATCGAATATTTTTGTCATCTTATTCTGCCCCCATACTCAATTAAAGTGGGACAAGACATGATCAAGGCAGGACGGGGTAGGTCCCTAAACCTACCCAACCCGCATCGGGTCGGGTTAGGTCCAGTAAGAAGTTGAATTTACCTGTTGGTAAATTGAAGCTAGAGGTTTGGGGGGTGCAAAATTACCTGGAATTAAGTTTCTATGGCCGCCTTTTCCATTGCTATGGTTACAGTCTAGGATTTTATAGTCTATTTGTTATTGTTTATAATTGTGATTGATGCTGAAAATTTTCACTTTGGTAGTACTATTTGTACTGCTTTATGTTGATGGATGAGAACCCATTCCTCGCCCCCTTTGAATGAAATTCGCGAAAATACAAAATAACTTCTTTGTCTGCTCGTCCACAAACTCATAATTTTTTTACTTACATCAGAAAAACTTTCAACATGGAGATAATGAATTTGTTGAAAAGGAATTTCATATAGGCCGCATTATCGGCAAATATATCAGCAGTCAAGCCTCTCAATCCATATACAACCTTTGGCTTTGTAGGAAGACAGAATTCTCATTAAGACATTGTTGCAAAACTACGTCCAACTCTTGCAAAAGTATGCTGTTACATCTCACATTTTTTAGTCAAAAGTCAATAGTTGAATTGTCTAATTTAAGGGCAAATATGGACTTAGTTGAAATAAATTATTTTCTTGGGATTTACTTTGCAATGGGTAATATATGAGATTTAAGATGGATGTGATTTATAGTTGAGGATTTACTTATGCATCAAATGATAGGTGGGAGACTTCCTTTGCAATTATCACTTGATGCCCCCATTAATTAGCAAAATCTAGACCATTCTAATTGATTTTTCTCACATCCGGCAGAGAAGCAAGAAACCGAGAAGAAGTGGGAAAAAGGGAAAAAGAGGAAGAAAAAGAGAAAAGAAAAGAAGAAAAAGAGAAAGGAAGAGGAAGGAAAGGATGATGGGTAAGTTTTATTTTCCCTAATTTTAGGTCTAAATTATCCATTTCTTCATGAGATGAATGAAGTATATTATGTTAAATTTCTAGGGTTTTAATTGAGTGGTTTAATTTTTCAGATTAAGTTGAAGATATACCCTAGGTAGTTCAAGTTTTTGAGTGATTACCTTCATTTTGCATCAAGGTAAGGAAATATTATTTTGGGTAAACCCTAGAATTTATATTTGGATTCTTGAATAAAGTATGTTTTGTGGAATATTTATGTTGATGAAATACTCATTTGGAAGAATGAATTTTATGTTAGAATATAAAAGTTAAGTGGA